AAAACTCTTTGCCTTTACAACCTCCTGTGACAGGGAGTGCCAGAAAAGCACAGCCCTCAGAGGAAGGAGCTATTAACTGGTTTAAATCAATCTCCTAACTTTATCTAGTGATGGAAGCTGCACCCTAAGCACACAGATTTCAAGCTGGCTTGCTGTGAACTCCCCCTGTAACTTGAGTTTATGAAGAGCTGGGGTCTTAGCAGATTCAAGCATTTAGTTATGCTGCCTTATTTTCCTCATAGCCGGTAAGAAGAGTACCCTGCAAGCATTTTAAAGCTGAGCTATCACTTCCTCTCTTATTTCAGAGAGAAAAATGAAAACCAATGGGACAGCACAGGACTGGAACTCACATACAATGCAAACACAGGCTGCAATCTAAGTGTGATTGGGAAGGTTTGAGGGAAGAATATTGCTGCTGAGATAGCAGCATCAACACTGAATTCAATAACTAAAGTCACAGAAAATGGGTATTTTGTAAGCAAAGTGAGGCTACAAAGGGCAGGAGGGAGCAGCACATAGTGGAACAAAACCAAGCATCAAAATCCCGCTCCAGCACATGCCCACGATGTGCATCTTCCTCTGCTTTGGGCTTTTGGTCCTTTAAAAACAGGATGAATATTGACTGCCCTGAACACGCACCAAATGACTATGCTGTGTGCTGCTTTTAGCCGAATCTCATCTCCTCAGGACGGTACTCCAGCAAGCTCCCATCCCGTATTTGAACATATGCTTGCTTCATTAGCGCTTACACTCACTTGGGAGAGAGACTGCATGAAATTGCTGTGAACACTGCAGAAGACGTATGCCAATGTAGATGGAAATCCTAATACCCTGCAGTGACAAATCACTGCTTTATTTGAATCTCAGAGCCCGTTATGATAGATTCGAACAATCCGATTTTTTGGATACCCAGGCACATCCAGACCTAATCATCCTAACTGGTAGTGAGAATTTTGCTGGAAGAATGTGTTAAGACTGATCACAGCACCCCAGAATGGTCTGGGTTGGAAGGGACCTTAAAGCTAATCCAGCTCCAACCCCTGCCACGGGCAGGGACCCCTTCCACTATAGCAGCTTGCTCCAAGCCCCTGTGTCCAACCTGGCCTTGAGCACTGCCAGGGATGGGGCAGCCACAGCTTCTCTGGGCACCCTGTGCCAGAGCCTCAGCACCCTCACATAAATCACTTCTTCCTTATCTCCAACCTGATCTTCCCCTGCTTCAGTCTGAACCCATCACCCCTTGTCCTATCCCTACAGTCCTTGATGAAGAGCCCCTCTCCAGAATCCTTGCAGCCCCCTTCAGACACTGGAAGCTCCCCTGAGGTCTCCACACAGCTCCTCTTTTCCAGCCCCAGTGTCCTCAGCCTGGCTCCAAATGGGAGCTGCACCAGCCCCTGAGCATCCTCATGGCCTCCTCTGGACCTGCTCCAAGTCCTTATGCTGGGGACCCCACCAGGCTGTGTGGGGGTCTCCCCAGAGCGCAGCAGAGGGGCAGGATCCCCTCCCTGAGCTGCTGCCCAGCACACAGGGGGGTTCTGGGCTCAAGTGCACACTGAAACCGGGTCATGGGGAGCTTCTCCTCCCCCAACACCCCCAAGCCCTTCTCCTCGGGCTGCTCTGACTCACTCCTCCACCCAACCTGCAGCTGGCTTTCAATAAGGAACCCTCATGGTAGGCAGCATACAAAGCAAGCAGCAGTGGCAGCCGATTCCCATCTTAAAGAGCTTGTGACCAGTATGAAAACGTCAGTGACAGGGGCAAAAGCAGAACCTAAAAATCAGGAAAAAAAAACAAAAGTCCCAAACTGGAGATACTTGGACCCTGCCCAGTATCCAGAAGTCTCTCTGCAGGCTTGGAATAAAGGAATAAAACCCCACGACACTGTCAACCTACAAAACGCTCCTGCTCTCAAGGCTGAACACTTGGGAAGAGACATGACTTCGTATGCTTAATAGCATCAAGTCTACCAAGAGAACACTGAGGCATCTAAAATGATACCAAATGTATCTCTAAGAAACCTCAGTACAGGGATGCTCAGAGCACATATGGACAAGCTGGACTTGCCCAAGACGAGAAAAGGAAACAGAAGAAAGAATGACTCCAGGCAAAGGACATCAGTGAGAAGCTTTCCCAAGGAATTCAATAGTTTTCCAGATAAAACATCCACCTCAAAACAAGCAAACCAGAGCAACGGAGTCAAGCTGAGCTCAATTCAAGAGGTACCTCAGTGCCTGCAAACCCATCTTCCTTGCCAGAAAACATCCCAGGTGGAGAACCCTCCGTAGCTCTAATTGAGAGCCAAAGGCCCCTGAGGTTACTTAGGCAGTTTCGAAAGCATTGCTTGAAGTGCTTTCTGGTGCCTTCTCATCCCATAATGCAACTGCCAGTCCCAAGTAAGCTTCCGAACCCTCTTGCAGTCACAGCTACGAGTTGCCAACAGAATTGGATGTTTGAGCCCCCTGCTCTCCCAACGCGCTCTGTTAGCACTGACCATGAAATCGCTCGCTGTGATTTGTTTGCATATATAGTGAAAAAATCAAGTGATGTTAGCCCAGATCTGGGAAGGAGGGGAGGGGGCAGAGAAAGGGGGAAATCTCAATCGCCTACAATGCCTAAACTAAGCAACCTGCTGCTTCACACTGCAGGGGCTCTTGTTCTTTCTCTACGCTTTGTCCCTATTTACAGTTCACAAAGCAACGAGCAGTAAAACAAGCTTAAATTTGAGTTAATGCAGCAGCAAGTTGACTCCAGATACAAGCAAAAAGGGCAGAGAATAGGTCAAAGAAATGGCATCACTGAATTTCAGTCTAAACCTATAAGACAAGAAGCTGATGCTGCTGTGCCTGACCCTTCTACGCTGCAGCATCCCTTCTACTCACTGGGTGTTTTTATATATACAGGGTGCAGATGATTGCTAGTGTAAATCAGTGTAGCTGCACTGACTTGTGTGGGATGACACCAACTGAGGGTCTGGCACAAACACCATCATGAGAAGCCAGGAATGACAAATACTAAGGAGAACAAAAGAATTCAATCCAGGAGAAAATGAGAAATCAGTATTCTTCATTATGAGCCCTGCTTGCCTCCACCACCTGATCGGTCCAAAGTGATGGAGAATAAATTCAGGTCTCAGCAGCCCTGCTGTACTGTAAATCCAGGCTGATAGCTCCACTGCACCCAGCAGGGTTGAGTTTATAGGTAGGAATGGTCCTAGCCAAGGACCGAACTGGTGGGACTTCATCACGCTGCTATGGCCTAAGTTCATCACTAAGCTCTGACTCTTAAAAACACCTACCGAGTGCTAACTAAACTGCTCGTGTGAGGAATATTTAGGAGGAGGAAGAGGAGGCAAGGAGCAAGGTGCAAACACTGAGCCAATGCAGCAGAGCCCTCACGAAATCTTGTATGTGCTACAGTGCTCTAGATGGGATGTTTTCCAGCTGCCTCCATCCCATGCATCCCCTACACCCAGAATTAAGCAGCGTTGTAGCTGTGAAGGTTAATAATTGACAATGGACAGAAAAGAGTATCTTAGCCATCGAGTTGGAAGTCAATGATGCTAAACACATAATTGTCCAGTACAGCTATATTTGTTCCAGGTATACTGCAGAACGTTTTCTCATGCCCAAGATATTACTCTCCTGTGCTGGCAGGAATATCTGAGCCAGATCAGCCTGCAAATGCTTCTTGAGGAAATTGGGTTTCTCCGCTCTATTAGGAGCATTTCATTTTTATGATTAAAATCAGAAAACAATATTCTACCCAGTTAAAGGGAAGCGTGCAGAAGACGACTTTCCTCTAACCAGGTTTCCAAATACTTATCTAAAGTGCTCTGGAAAGGCATTAATAAATAAGGATGAAAAATGAAAACTGCATAGCTAACATGTTTCATGAACTGCATTTGCTGTGAGTTATGGACAACATGCTTTAGAGGAATAATAGTAATAGTTCACACTTCAGCACAGCACCCTTCAGTGGAGAGACTCCCATATATCAACATACAAAGCTTTAATCAGAAAGGAAGGCATCAACTTCTCCATTACACAAAACCAGGTAAATCAAGGCAAAGACTAATAACCAGCCAACAGTTCAAACCACGGCAGACAAATTTCGGTGTAGACCCTTACTGACTGGAAATACTTGGATGTGTGCTCATGATCTACCCAAATCAAAGGGACATCAGGCTACAATTAAGCCTATACCTATGTGGTTGGAGTTTGTGTGTTCTGGAGATGATGGGCTGTTCCTTCACCAATTGACAGAGGGAAACCCAACTGATGGATGGAACAATCAAGACTATCACATTCCAGAAAGCAAGCTATATTGGAGGATGTCTACAGCAAAACAAGGAAGGAGTTCTGACAGATCCTAATGGTGTCCAGCCAACTGGTTCCTGCCATCATGATAGACGTCAGGTACCAAAATACTTGTGATTGTCTGGACCACAATGATCTAACCTAATGGTATACAGGGAGGCTTGGACCATATGAGGTCCCTCAGGCACCACGTTGCCAGCTGGACTTATCTCCGTCTGCATCTATGCAGCTAAGTCAGCTAAGAGCCAACACTGTGTGTGGCTGGTGACTCATTGAACACCCTGTGGGGAAGAAAACCAACGTTTTCACTCTAATCTGTGAGCTCAGGAAAAGTACACACAGAAAACGCAACACAACGGACAAATGGAAGGAACCAAGAGGCCTTTTCTTCAGCCCTAGGCTCCAGGGCTTTGCATCTTCTGGATCATAAAGAAGGGGAGAGCAGCAGATTCATGCAGGTTATAAAGGTCTAAAAATGTGCCACTTTGCTTGTGATGAAGGACAGGGAGAAGAAAGGAGAACAGCTCAATTCCGAGTTCAAAAAATCATAATAATAATGAAAGTCCTTGAGGCAAATAGGGGGGGAAAAAAGGAGGGGGAATTACTTGGCACACAGGGATATGCAGGAAGCTCTGAAAGACCTGGATAATGCACCATCAAAATACAACCCTTTTAAAAGAGTACCTTTTCTTCCCTGCTCAGGTTGTCGTCTTTTGTTCCATCTCATTTCAGTGCCCATCAATACATCTGCCTTTTCCCTTCTCAGCTGGATGGGGTTGACAGTAATCCAATTGGATCTAAGCCCAGATGCATTTCTTTCTTCTTTCCTTCTTTGTAATCTGTACGGAAAACAAAACGCACAAAAGCCTGGCATTACTTCCCATTCCAAGTCAACCTCTATTTCAAACCAAACCCCCGTGCTAACAGCGAGGGATAAATCCCAGGAAAATCATTACAGAAATTAAACAGATAAAAAGAAACCCCTTTCCCTCAATGCCTGTGCTCTTCTAGCACAGCAAGGCAACCCGACTCTGAACGTGTAGTCATCCAGTACGCACAAAAGAGGTCCGAGCCATCTTTAGCTGGTTAATAATGGCCAACCCTGCAGTGAAAAGGTGGACAGCTTCACATTTCACACCCAGAACCACACAGAGGTTGGAAGGGTCCCATTGGAGATGGTCTAACCCAACACCCCACTCAAAGCAAGCACTCGTGATCTTGTCTGATTGAGCTCTGAATATCTCCAAGGATGGAGACTCCACAAACCCTCTCTGGGCAAAGCTGTTCCTGAATTTGACCACCTGCACATTAAGAACAAAGCTCCTGTAGAAACAAGTCACCAGCATCCAGCTGTCATCATGAGGTGAGTCTCCACTTCCCAACTGGCCAAGCACAGATGCTGCTGGCACTGCCTTTGGTACAGCCAGGGCTTTGGGCAAGGTCTCCCTCTGCCATCACCCCGGAGGCAGCACAGCCTCCTGATTTCCTCCTGCAGCTCCCCTCCATGCCAAAAGAGACACTGCTCCATGGTGCCCATCTCTGCCCTGTCCCAGGCTCCATGGTGGACATCAGGCACTGCCTGCAGCCCAAGCCCTGCCTGGCATCTCCCCCCTGAGCAGCTCAGTCTTCACTTAGGTCTCTGACAATGAGAAAGGGCTGCTCCACACCACGCCAGTGTCACCACTGCTGCTGAGCACAGGGATGCTGTCCCTTCTCCACAGAGCACTGTGGCTTTTGCCTGCTTCGGATGCACTAAGTGCGGCGTTTGCCAGCTCTCCATCAGTTGGAATCCAAGCCAGCACTTAAGAGTCAGGCTCTCCTGCTATAAGCAGAAGGGGTGCCTGACCCTCTCAGTTGACTCTCAGCTTGATTAACTGCTTTTGTAAACCATTCTTCCTAATACATTTCCTGGTTGGAGAGAGGAAACTTCAATGGTGTGGTTATAGAAAAGGACAAAGGACAAGCAAACAGATCAGAACTGGACCCCTGAGAGAAGCCTGTACAATCTCAGCCCTGCCTGCAGCCATTCTGAAGAGGCACTGAACTACCCAGGGGCAAAGGCCACCATGCTATTCTTGGTTGCTTCCTGTAAAATTCAGTAGCTGCCAATTCGATACAGCCGTGCTTTGGTGCCTGAGAAAGCATCCTTGAGGCTCCCACCCCCTCTTTCTCTTTGTAAATAAATGATAACCCCTGAGCCTTCAGAGACAAGGCTGAACACGTAACTGAAGTGCACCTTAAGCCTCAAAACCCAAGGCAAACCTGACATCTCGCTCCCCCTGCTCCCTCCTGGTTTAGCGCACCTGACTCCGGGTTTGCCAGCCGTCAGAGCTGATAACGCCGCTGGATTCCTTTCAGCTCAGGGCAATGGGGCTGACACATTCCTGCTTCCTTCCTTTATAACAGCTGGTCACATCTGCACCTGCGGGAGCCCGGCAGGAGCCAAAGGCCATCCACACAACAGCCCAGAGCAAACAACGAGCCAAAGCACCGCCCAGACTGATCGCAGCATCTGCAGGCGCCGATGCTCTGCTCGTGCTGCTGCAGGGAGCAGCTCCAGAGCCAGCCTGCTGTGCAGCACCTGCAGAGCCACGGGGACCTGTTAACCACAGGACCCCAGCTTCTGGAGCTGCTTGTGCTGTCTTTTCCCCCCGTCTGTGTCAGTTGGCACTAATGTGAATGCAGTCACAGAGAATTTATACATCTCTGGCTCTGCCTTCTGTCAATTTAATGTGCCCTGACTGTGCATCTGCCTGCAGGACATTCCTCTGGCCTCACAAACTCTTTATTTACACCTCCTTCTCTAGCATATGTGTTACAAACCACACTGTTGTGTGCTCTGCAGAGCCAGCTAGCAGCTCCCCTTACAAAAGGGTACAAGAGACAGACATTCATTGAATACATCCCTCTCCAGGAGCTCGAGCTGACTGAGGTTTGCAGTTCCTCCTTCTCTAATTCAGCCTGATTTGAATTAACCCTGAAACAAGGGAGGCTAGAAAGCTCTCAGCAGGGATCTTTCCGATGACAGAATGGTCTTGGCTAAAAGAAAGAGCTTAAGAAAAGCTCAGGAAACAGAAATGGAGCCCCCATTCCATCCACAGGACTTCAAAGACATCACACAATCTTCCTAGGTGCTGTATGCTCACTAGTGCATGTAGTTCTCCATCCCCAGCGCATCAGTGTTGCCTCCAGCAAAGGGGTGCTTGTTCTTGCTTAGGGTATCACGGCCCTAATACAGGAACAGAGCTCATTGCTTACCAGGGAACACAACCATTAGGATTTCATACCCACAGGTTCATTGCTCTTCACAGCAAAGCCAGGACCTATAACCAGCAAATTTCAATGCCTTATTTTCCTTTAGTAGTCGCTAATGGCTATGGACAACCAACTCCCAGAATCACAATGCACAAGACCCCTCATTTTCCACCTTTCTCAGAGATGGTTAAACCTCAACCTCAGTATTTCTGAAGCAGGTACTCTCCCCCTCTCCTGTTGCCTCCTTTGGGCCATTCATTTTAAACAGCACCAATTGCCACCTTTTGGCCTTTCAAAGCACATCTCACCCATCTGCACTGGCAAGACCTTAAACACAGGAAAAAACAGGGTTTTGAGTCTTGTCAAAGCCAGGGAGGGTGACAAGGGAGAATGTGCTAAGATACACCCAAGCTGGTGAAGAGGAGGTGTAAAAGACACCATCTGGATAGCACCACAGGGTGGATTCACTCAGAATTAGGATCGGCAATGCTGAAGTGGTGATGTTACTGCCCTCCTTCAGGGCAGCCACAGTTGCTTTAATGTTAGCACTTAGTGAGCTATTAAAACGGCATTATCGGGTCCAAAGGCCCTGTATGAGCCTGGCACATCAGGAGAGGGGCACAAGAAGCCAAACAGGAAGCAAAGAGTACACCCTCATAGCCACCAACAACTGGGCTTGCAAGGACGGCACTGCCTTATCTTATTATATCCCACCTCATCAGCAGTCCCTTTGAAGCCCTTTTAAAGACCCCCACACATAACAGAGCATTTGCTTTCCCAATTCTGCTTGTTTTCCAGGAGGCAACCAGAAACCAGGAAAACCCACCAGCTGCTTCTCTATGGAGACAGCCCTGTGAAAACAGGGACGTCACGCAAAGTTAGAGGCCAGTTTGGGGTAAAAGGCTGGTAAGGTCCCATCTCCACTCTTCTTACTCAAGGATAATTGAGTCCAATCTATTCCAGACACAAGCCCCTGCCCCAAAGTCAGCTGGACTCTGGCTCATGTAAATCAATAGAGTTTAGGACAAAAAGCAGTGACTGGCTCCCCTCGTGTGACATGCTGCTCAGTAGCAAGGCCAAATCCATCCCCAGGCTCAGAAGTCAAACCACAACTGAAATGGACTTTGCCCATTCCCTTTGTGCTTGCGGTTCTTCCTCTCCTCTTTGGTTATCTCTTTATGCCAGTGAGTTCCAAGCAAGGGAAGAGATGGAAACCGCAGCATCTTCTGACAGAATCTGTCCTCCACTACATTTACAGCTCCGTTTTATACACCTCAAGGGTTCTCACGCTTCAAAAAAGCCAAGGACAAACTGGAATACCTGAAATGAACCTCCAAACCTTTTGGTTTTTTTTCCCCAGCATATGCAAGGAAAGCAGCTGCCAATCTCAGTACACATCGAGTCAGACTGAAATATATAGCAACTATTTTATAACAGAGCCGTGCAATGATTCAACTTCAGCTCGAGTTTCCATAGCCTATGGCTAAATATTGGTTCCATAAGAAGAATGTTGGCTCGGGTTCTTCCAGTGCTGATCATGGCACCTCTTTGCTTCATCACAGTGGCACTGATTTATCTTTCCTTTGTGCAGCTCATCTGTTTAAACCGCTACACGTTAACTTCCAATGCTGTCTGCAGAAGCTGGAGTGTGTTTGAAAAGCACCTAATCCTGCTTCCACCTACACTGGGGGGATGAGGGCAGCTCTGCCAGGGATACACCAGTGCAGGATGCCAGCCTGGCCATTTATCTTTGGGATGAGCTAAACTTGATGGTCCTGACCAGTTTTTGAGCCTTCAGACACTCTGTGGCACACAGGCATGCGAGCTGTACATCTAAAATGCTGCGCTAATCCCACCTCTACAAATACACATTCAGGAAACACCACCTTCCTCTCCCGCTTCCTACCACTGTGATTTACAAGGTGAAATTAAAGCCACACACATCCCAGTGCTTGGGGTTTTACATCTTGGGTCACTGAGTTATAAAAGCTGCCAGTGAATTTTAAATGCTTTGTTTTGACTTAGCAATCACTGCATTTACCTGGAATATTCAGCTGCATTGCACATCACAGGAAAGCTGATTTAGGGATTGCGAAGTGCATGCAGAGAGACTACAAAATGTATTTCCAGATCACTCCCCCTAATAATAATATATGCAGCTCACCCACCCAAGAGATATGCACATATTCATACAAATGGGTAAACGCATAAATGTGTATGTATCTCACATATTTCTATTAAATCCTTCTCTCCCTAACTACATTTTTGATGGCAAGATCAGGTACCATGTCAATATATAATGAGAGGCTCTGCAATTCCTCCCTGCCACCCCCTCACCTCATCACCCCTGCTAGCACGTATCAAATTCAGCTTTAAGCTCCATTTCCAGCTCCCTGGGTGCCTTTTCCTCCTGCTGCTGCTGCCAAAGGTGGAAAGACTGGAGCAAAACCAGGCCAAGTAATTGCATCCTTCATCCATCCCTTTGGTGAGGCTGTGGGATTGCTCCTGTGGTCCTCTGTCCCCACCTAGCTTCCCTCTTGCTGCTGGGCTAGAAAGAGATTAAACCCAACCATGGGGGCACT